GAATGGCCAGAGCCATGCAGGAGCACCCAACGACAGTCTACTGAAGTTTCCTCCAGAGGCCCTTACCATGCTCTGCAGCTGTATTGCCTCTGACACACACAGCAAGTGGTGTAAATTCCTCCTTCCTGCTTCTGTGATTCTTCCTGTATTTAACTCAGACTCCTAGAGAGGTCTATTCCCAAAATCTTCTTTTTTCTTTTCAGAAAGTGTGATTGTTACCACATTTTTATGTTAAATATAAACACAGTCCATTTTCCCAGCTTCTGATAGTTTTCTAGACCTACGTTTCCACATTACTCCATTTGTTCTGCAATATTCAAATTATTTATTTATATATTGTCAGAACAGCACCTGAGAGTTTTGTGCTATGGTTTTCATGAGGTATTAGTAAAGCACTTGAATGTTATTACCAATCTATGCGTTCCTTTTCTAGCTACCCATTCAGAAAGTCCGTTCTGCTGCTAGTGCCGCAGCACAGCTCCTCCTCTACAAGAGTCTTTTGCTGTCTGCTGCTGTGCTGTGCCCACGTAGAGCATCAGGCACAAGGAGGACCTTTGGGACAGACGCTTGCATGTGCAAATGGCCTGTTTTGACTGCTAAGAAATGGATAATAAAGCGGTGGTACTCTACAGTAGATAAAGCAATTAAGAATATTTATATAGTTAAAATAAGTAGTAATCGTTACATATTAAATATGTAGAAGGACAGAATATATCATTTTACAGAGAAATGTACTGCTCAAATATCTTAGAGTATTAAGTTCTGATAGCTTATTCTGTTCTGGTTTTTTTTTTTCAGTAGGTTTTCTAAAGGCTTAGTTTCCTTTCCAGCAATTTTCAAACATTTTTCATTGATTCATCTCCTCTAAAAGATCTTATAAAGCAGGATCTGATCCATGCATGTGAAGCAAACAAAACTTTCAAACATTTTAATTAATTAGCGATTTGTGTATCTGCCAGATTATGTCCTTGAAACATACTACAAATAGCCTTCTCTATTACTCTTTTATCACAACAACATGGACGGTGTGAGAAAAATGATTTGGCTGCAAGTTCTTCTCTCTGAACTCAGCTCCACTGAGAGAGGAAAGGAGCACTAAAATGTGAAGGCAACAGATCTTTCATTGATGGCAAGAACAAACCCCAAACACCCACGACTAGGTACTATTCTTGGACATAATTATGATGCCTGCTAGGTATAAAAGACATGAACATCATTTAAAACACAGTATTCATAGCTTTCCTCTGAATTCTGTTTAAGGTAAGAAAGCATTACTTGGATTTGCAAAGTTTAAAAATGCAGTTATTGCCATTTCTCTACTCTGCCCAGCAAAATAAATGTGGTGAAACACAACACGGCAAAAGGTAACAGGACAATGCTTTCATTGCTCATAGAAGATGCGGGACTGGACGTTCAAATCCCTTTGTGAACCTACAGAGCAGGCAGTGAAAAGGCAACAGGATAAGTTCCCTGACACCCTCTGAACCTGCTCAGAGGCAGCCAAAGGACCTTGGTTAGTTCACCCCAAGGCCAGGGAAACTCCAGCTTACCATCTAAGAGGGAAAACAAAGGCACAAATTATGGCCAAATGTGCTGTTCGCATTTGTGCTGAGACAGGGCTGAGCCACACGGGAAAATAGCAGCCAACATTACTATCTGCACTTCTAGCAGAGATGGGGAAACAGCCGGTCATTACAGCCCTGGACTGTGTTTGAACCAGGGATGGGAGATGAAAGGCTCTACATTACAATCCCCCAAAGGAATGTGCTTTCCATTTACGAAATGGCTGAGCACAAGGGCAGAAAGAATTTCTATCCATTTAAATGCCAGGAAACAGTAGATACATTTTGCTTTGAAAAACAAAGCAATAGCACAGGAAAGATCTCTGCCATTACTCTCTATCTCTGACTAACCGTGCTCCAGTTCTTTTCTCAGCCTTGGTCCATTCCTGTCACAACTTTGTGTTTCAGGCTCTCAGATACCTTTCTTCCAAATATCGTGAAGAACAGTTTAAATACTTCTATTAGTCATTTTGACTGATTCCAACGGAGAATTTCTTTGTAGAAAGGGGAATGAGGAAAACACCTTCCTTTGTTCAATGCCACAAGTATATTTCAGATGATCTTTGTATAAGCAGAGCTTAAGGAAGACAAAGGTCCTCGCTGCCAGCCTCACCTCCTGAACAAGATGCCACGTGAGGCCATGGTTGGTGGAGTATTCCAGTTTCACCTGGTTGTCCATATGAGGAGTAAACACCTGACCGCAGCCCATCACCAGGTTGAACTGTATCATATATGAAGCTCCGATCTGCATAGACTGGGTCTCCACGTAGCGCATGCTAGAAGCTAGCTTTGAATCTCCTGTAAAACTGAGAGATGTAAGGAAATAATCAGGATCCATCCCCAAAACAACTCAGGAGGGAACACTATGAATTGTTCTGGGTTAAATACAGTGATGCTTCTTTCTTTGTTCTGTGGATTGGCATGTGGGATCAGACCATGCAGAGAAGCATCTTCCCATTGGTATTTCTGCAAATTACCAGGAAGGCCTTGATGTATCCCAGAGTGTGAAACACTGAATTATTCTGTTATTTCTTACTATATGCGTTTTGTATTAAGGATCAAGTAAAGGATAACATGCAGAAAGACCAACATAAAGAAAGTTCATTCTCCAGGAGTGTCCATTGCCTGAGGTCATGTCAGAGTAACAGCTGTAATTTCATTCAAACACTGGACAGCTAAGTTACAGCACATTTAGTTTAAAATATTCTTATTACATAGTCTTTTCATTCCATTGATTTTTAAGTGATCCTTATGCAATGCATTCACGGACTTTTGACTGTGTTTCAGAATTAATATCGCTTATCCTCAGCTTCTTTTCTGCAGGATGTACTGATATAAGAGTTATATTATCCAGTGTATTGGAGAAGATAATTTTGTCAGTAGTAATGTCTGGAACACACTAAGCATCATATATGACACAAGGTACCCAGTTGCCACATACATGGTAACACAACATATAGTTTTAAGTTACAAGTTAATTTGAATTTAAATACAGGTTTTTCCTCTATGCACTATTCAAAAGGAAAAAAGAAAATCAAATGTAAGAGAGGTATAAGGAAGTAGTAATAACAACTTGAACATTGCATCGTGCACACTAGCCTTCGAAACAGAGTGTTTTTAAGAAAGTTCATGCAGAATGAAAATCCCCTCCCTCTCCTTAGTTTGAGATGTTTAATTAGTGTCTTCAGAAACACTGTAGTCCTTTCAGTGTCAACATTTTCTGTGGGAACAATTATGAAGAGAATTATCTAGTTCAAGGTTGCCATTATGGTCAAGTAAGTTACAGTTTATCATCTTAAACAAGATATCCTAAGCGTTCAGTAGTGTACAATAAAACATATTAGCTTCTACCCCTGTAAAATTCAAGGTCACAACAAAGTCAGTATAAGGACTAGGAATAAAAGTCAGCGTTACTTAACACTCTTTAAAATTAATTCACTGACCCACACTGTTTTCTATAGAGTCCTTTCCAGAGAGAGCAGTTAAGCCAAATGCCTCACAAGTTGAGATCCAGGCTCCTTTTACTCTCTGGCCTTGCTCTCTGTGACATCATTTCCTAAATGAAACTACCCAGGTTGCATCAATCAGCACCACGAACTGACTGTGGATGGACATTCCCTTCGCTGCTGGGACACTGTCATGGACAACTGGACCAGAAGGCAGTAAATTGGCTTGGAAAACTGTATCTCAGCTGTTTGCTCTTTCAGTCAGTGTTGTCAATACTTTTCTTCTCAATGGGAAGGATAATTTTAAGTTGAGCAGAGGATATAATGTACACTCATCAGGAGTCCAGCTGGCAACCTATGGTTTTGGCTTCATAGTTAGAACTGAATGTATCTCAGAAGAATTCTTTTGGATAATTCCTGGATTTGTTTTTCTTCCAAACTTTATTTTGTACTTTTCAAAATGACAAAACCCTGCAAATTTAAAAGTTAAAGCTCACTTAGTCTGACATAGGTTTAATTTCTACAATGCAGCTTGAAATTTCATAGCTCATGTGGGAAATCAAAATTTTACCAAAGGCCTCTTGGGAAATCTGTGCCAGTACAACCAGGCTCTTCAGGTATCAGTCAGCTATGTGCAGTGTAATCAGCTGAAAGTTACATGTAGCAATGCTTCGGAAAATGGTTTGGCATTACATACATAAACCTGAGCACAACTCATCACAGTTACCTAAAGCTCATCTGAACAGAATAAAGGAGTTGAAACTAAACAGTTTGATGAAGCATCTGCCCAGAAGCTGTCTTCCCCAAAGTGATGGAAGACAAGTGAAGGGCTGGTACTCAGCATAGGTGCAAAGAAATAAACGTTTAATTTTGTCTTTGTCTCCACAGAAATTCCCTCTATTCAATATTACTGTTGTAAAGCTAGAAAAAAATCTTAAACTCTAATAATTTTTACTGGTGGCATTCAGGTCATGATTAAAATACTTTAGGTTTAGTATTCATTTTCATTTAATAACTCAGCCACTGGATATTGTACACAATACAATATAGTAAGCATTGTTTTAAAGTCAAAACGGCTCTTTAAAATGGATATTAAAAAATGTGACAAAGGAAGCTAGTGATAAGATGAGGACAATCTGTGATGCTCCATAAGAAGCTCTTTTAAGGGGAGGAAATCACATTATGGGTTCACAAAGTCCTTTATCATCCACAAATTGCCTCCAGCTGAACAAGGGTAGCATTAAAGGTGAGGGCTCCACCTGACTTGCCACTTCTTTTCTCTCCAGCTCTCCTGTGTATGTGGTCAGGGGGATGCTCTTCTGCTGGAATACCAAATATTTATTTTGTTCTGGGAGTCATGCAGCTGAAATACATTTCTGGATTTTGTAAAAGACAGAGTAATGTCCCTGGCATTAAAATAATTAACTAAAAAATCTTCAGAAATGAGAATGCAGAGGCTACATTTTTGTATAAATATGTAGCTGTGAGTTGGTTTCCAGCGTGTATATAATTAGACCTGCAGAGGCACAGAAAGACAATACCCATAGGTGCCCTCAGAACAATCGCTCTCCCTCCAAGCACTGCCAACTAATTGGTACTTCTGGGAATGATATCACAGCCAATGTCAGCCAATCTGTGCTGCTCCAAACTGCTCTGGAATCCCCAGAGTTAACATGTCTTCAAGGCCGGTACTTTCAGGAATACTGAAAAGCCACACGGATGCAGCTGATTTTGTAAATCTGCATTGACCAAGAATATTGACGTGATGGCCAAATTCTCATGCCAACCCCAGCTTTGTTTCAATCAAAGGCAGGAGACGTTTATGTCTTTTTACATCACATCATACCTACTTTGCTAAATAATTCCTAAACGTATTAATGTATTTTAATTAAGTCGATTACCTGAAATAAACTTTCTGCATGTTACAGAGTACTAATTAATCTAAAAGACAAAACATTTTATAGACACAGGTAAATGGTCAAGCTGATGTAGGGCAAATGTATTACGTTGTTCCGTAAGGATAGTTCATTACGAGCCAAATTTACAGTCTTCCCCCAGGCTGCTCCAGGGACAGCTGGACACTTTATTGTCTGTTGCATTGAGTTAAATCACAATGTCATAATCTGACTGAATATAACGCTAGTTTATTTGTGACCTGATTAATATTTTTTTAAAAGTAATTGTTAGCATCCTTATCAATACTTAAATGCATTTCAGCAAGCGTCTGTGAATAGTCTGTAACACTCCAGAGGCATTTGGGTCAAAATCTTGCCTGCATATGGTCATTTTGGAGAAGTGATGAATTAATGTATGTCATTAAACATTTAATTTTAAAAGTGTTCCTGAGTCCTTTAGTATACTCGATACACTTGCTGTGATATAGTCTCAGAACCAATCTGAAACCAAATGTTGACATTTATAATCAAATAAAGTGACTGTTACAGATATTGCCGATTATACAACACCCAAAAATCACCTTTGCTCAAAACTTACGTATATCAACAAACCCATCTTTTCTAAGTGAAGACAAATATTGAAAAGAACAACCTTCCTCTTCAGCAAAAATAAAAATCTCCCTCCTCAGTTTTATGCAAGTTTAAGGATAAATATTTCAGATTTACAGATTCTGAGTCAGAAATGGAGGCCTAATAGACAAATAAAGGCAATTCAGTGAAAATGGTCCTGGGGATGACATGCTGTAAAATGATTTATAGCATATTTACCATAGTTCTACTAATGAAAAAGCAGTTGTCAGACTTTTCTCAAGAGGATGGTGTCAGTGCTGCTGCAAACTCTGCTCATAGAAAGTCATGAGTAAGAAAATTAGAACCAAATAGACTCACAGCTGGGAAAAGCCAACAATAATTAATTTAACTAGCAGCCATTTGCACAGACTTTGTGTAAGTTTAAAGATTTCCCTGGAGAGAAACAAGGTCAGTGAAGGATAGAGTTCATGTCTTCCAGTGATAATGAAAAATACTTACACATAAACAGTAAGGAAAGATTGCAAAGACTTTGATGCTTTACTTGATGCAAAGAATGTTCAACATTTCCACTATGACTGAGCACTACAAATCCTAGCTGATATATGGGATGGAGAATGTAGCCTAGTGTTTATTATTTTGATTCTGATTTAGAGTCACAGGAGGAAAACAGAGGAACCACTGCTATCTTAAATAACCTACCGCCCTCCCCATGATAAAGCAGTCTTACAAGAACGGAGGGAAAACAATGTCATTAAAGGGCTTTCATTCCAGCTCTTTGAAGAGGAAGATGCAAACAGTTTGAGCCCTAACATGTTGTTTCATTTTAATGAGCAGCCAGTACCTTCCTTGTCCTTATTAAAGTGGTTAATGGTGCTTCTACTGCCTCATTATCACCGCTAGAACACATTCGGTGTTGTTCCTACTGCTAAGCCAACTCCTTTTAGTTTGACAGATGATCAGAAAGTCAAATCAGATTGCTCAGAGATACTTGTTAATAAAATTCCAACAGTGTTTCTCTGAGTGTCCATGGGGACGCTAAAATTATTTATATTTTCTTGAGGTTTTCTATAATTACTGCTATTGTACTTTCTACAAATAAATATTTCTACACCAATTAAAGCCATACTGGATTCATATGTTGATCAGACTGTTCAGTTTTAATCAAAACATAGAGATTAAATTGAGCTTCCCTTGTATTAATTACAAATGTTACGCTTATGTACTCCAGAATTTAATTTTTGTGAAGCAGGTTAATGTTTTACTGAAACAGCTTATTTTTTACACAATCCTAACAGATTTTTCTGTTTCTTTTTCTTTGTTTTTCACTCCTTTTTCTTTTCTTGCCTTTTTTTTCCTTTGGGGCAGGTGATGTTTTCTTGCTTTTGTTTCTATATATACAGCACATTTTAGGCATAATTGCCATATGTCATAATGCTGATCACTTGCAAAATATTCAGCGCCTGTACTTGAGAGGCTATTTCATAACCTGTGTACCCATATTAGCCATGATTGTATTTTAAGTTAAAATTATTAAAAGTTTCTAAATTGTTTCTATTAAGTTATTCTTTAAATATTTTGTGCAGAGAGAATGCTACATTCAATGTTCCCATCGAACATAAATCTCTGTGCAATAGGGTGTAAAAACTTACTGCTAATGGCAATTAGATTAGCAACTGTATTTTTGTCCATAATATGAGGATGACACACAATTACTCTGAATATCTGCAAGAAAGACTAATTTGCAGAAAGCACTGGGTTCTTAGCAAGATGAATACACAAAGAAAACAAAAGTAGAACAGAAAAGAATATGAGTTTCTCACCAAAGAGTCCAGTCATGTCCACAGTAGGGCTGAACATTTCCCAGGTAGAATCCCAGAGACTGCGTGACTTCGACTAGGTTGGTGAAGTCCAGACTGATGCTATTGAAAAGCACAGAGGTCATGATGATTTCATCGATCGCCCACACATCTTCGCCTTGAGAAGAGTGATATGGTTGCCACCATCTGAACTGAATGCCAACCTGTCTTGCATCTTCAGGCAGCTCCACTGATATTATTCTAGAAAACAAAACAAAACTATTATTGCAAATCTCTCTGTAATAATTCCACGGGGATGTATTTTATGGTTATTTTTCCTTACTGACCCCAAAAATCATGGGATAAATGTGGCCCACAAATACCTTAGCATCTAATGATATAGCTTCTGCTAATGAAAGGGACAGGAATTCATCAGTTCTCTTGGTAGTCAATGTATTTATTGAACGACAGCCATCTGCTAAAGCCACAAAAGAGTTTCCACCAGTTTTGTAAATTTTGCTGCTACTGTGGAGTTCTCTGTAAATTTTAAAGTTGCTCTGCCTTGCAATAAGAAGCCTAAATACCTTCCATTTGAAACCCAGCTGTAGTTCAGGGGCTTAGAGTGGCAAAGGGATGAACAAGAATCTACAAATTCCAGCTCCACTTTCTCAGTCTCAGCAGATTTTATCCTGAAGACATGCATCTTCTTAACATCTGTACTTGTTTCTGCACAGCACTGATGTCGTGCCTATGCTGCTCTTGTCCTAGAAGAATCCACCCCTGTAAATTGCCACATTCAAGCAGAAAAGGTTCATGTTGTCACACAGTGTGATTATGTGTAGGCTCTTATGGCACACACTTTTCTTCTGTAGCTGCATAGAGATGCAACTGGAGGTGAGTCCCAGGCGCTTCTCCTGGTATGCAAGGTCACCTGATTTGTCATGGCAGCTATGTCAACAAACCTGTAATTGACAAACTGCAAAGAAAATTAAGAGTAATATCTAATTTCCAGGAGCAATTATCGTACACAACAGCAGGGAGCATGCATTAATTGCCACAGCAACAACACCTTCTTGAAAGCTCCATAAATCACCAGGAGCATGGTGCCCCACGCGACACATGGGAGCTGTGAAACAGACTGGCAACAGGGACAAATTTGTCTCCATTGGTGCATAATTACTTGCTGGCAAAAGGGTTTTCGATAAGCTCATCATGTAGCTGGTATTTTTCTTTCTCTCTTAGAGGAAATGTGGATAAAATTATAAAATGACAAATCAGGTGAACTGGAAACATCATTTTATACTTTACAACCATGTTTTTTCCAGATTTGATGCTTTCTAAGCTGCCTGTTATTGTAATGTTTCATTCTGTGTGTGTGAAACAGTCTTGTGCCTGCAGCGGTCTTAGTGTAAAACCACACTCTTAAAAATGACTTGCTAAGCTGTCCTTGTAAAGAGTAAATTTATAATACTGCTGTTTAATGTCACGTTGGTTTTGAAGAATACATTAATCCATTAGCAAGAAAAAAATCAAATGGCTTGGCTAAACAAGTGGGAAGCACTCAAAATCTCCTGTCTGGGATTTCTAGGAGCTGCTTATTGCTGGTTGTAGGCTGGAGAGAGCAGTGTCGAGGGAGAGAGAGAGGTGACGGCCGCCTTGTCCCTGTGATGAGGGACCCCCAGCACACATGCTGAAAGTATGGCGGATACATTCCTTTTGCTGCTCAAATAAACACGCTTGAATGACTTCATGCCCTTCTAAGAGAAAGACCAAGTCCCATTACTCTCTGGCATGTGAATAAACTACAAGGACCTTTTTCTACCTAGCACAGAAGCATAGAATCATAGAATTTTTCTACCTAGCATAGAATCATAGAATCATAGAATCATTAAGGTTGGAAAAGACCTCAAGGATCATCAAGTCCAACCCAACACCACCTAGCATTCCCTAATGAGCAGCAACTCTGACTTTTTGGGTCAATTTTTAAAGGCACAAATGGCACTAAATTGCTACTGATGAAGAAAGGTACCAATAGTTTTGTCTTTCATGGGTCAGCAGGGTGAACCTGAGGAAAGATAGGAGGAGCATTGCATCCAGAGTATGCCATGAAGCACTTGACACTTGTGTGAGCTAATGCCCGCTCATAATTCTGGGCATAGTCCTCTGCTGGAGGCTGTCTCTGATGCCTGCATCTTCCCTTTCACTCCTAACTCACATAACCTTGCCCATGTGGACACTAATTCTCACCGACAGTAGCTTACAGAAAATCCTAAATCATGACATACACCAGTGATACACCTAACACGCTAAAATATTTAACACATGTTAAAATAAATTTCTCATCGAGGGGATTAAGCAAACACAATTTAAAGACATTGGTGCAAACCACCGTATATGGCACATACGTCAGCGTGCAGAACCTGACTACCTCTCCAGGTATAACAGCTTCTGCTGCCTGGCTTTGATTTGTTGGAGATAGATGGAGAGGAAGTGGGATTCTTGCTAATGACTTTTCTGATGCAGAGAAGAAAAGTATTCCTACTAACATTACCAGCTACCATTAGATTTCTTAAAAACCAGCTAGGAGACCTTTGCTCTGATCTGATTCTCTCAAGCTATGCGCATACCTAATATTGAAAAGCCACCGCTGTTCTGCTCAGAAGAAAAATGCAGCTGTCAAATGTTAGCAGATTAAATGCACCTTTTCAGCAGAACATTAAATGTGTAATTATTTTTCGTATGACTGAAGATTAATTAGATTTCTGGATATAGATTGAGAGCCAAACTTTGCAGCTGTCCATCTATGTTACCAAAAATGCTGATATTTTCAGACAACATAATATGAAAAGGTGAAGCTTTCTTCATGTTCTTCATCATAATTATTGACAGCATTATCTTCAGGTTTGTACGTCTGTCATTCTTCTGTCTACTCAGAGTGGACCATATGTATCCAATGGCAAAACCTTTCTAAACTGTGTATGTTGTACTTAGCTTTTTGCCCTGTCAAAACAACTGAAATTGTGTTTCATACTTAATCTCAAAAAGCAAAAAAAGTATCTGGCATCAATATAATTTACTACACTTATATCTTAAAATCCATTAAAATCAGTCAGCAGAATGTGTATTTTCCTTTTTGTTATAAAAATTTCATAGTACTATATATTAAAAACCTTTAGGGAAATAGAATTCCTCCAGCTGTAATCTTGAATCTAAGAATCAGAAACAGGGCCATATAAAATATATATGTGACTATAATAAAGGACAGGAAAGGAAATTTCGAAGAAGGCTTATGAGTGTTCCTGTTCTTAGGATCTTTCATTTGGAAAAATTTGAAACTTCAGAAATTAATGTCCACATGCAGTATACTTCTACCAAATACAGTCATTCCTCTCAGATTTTTGAGTATTTCTTACAGCTCCCAGGAAATAATTCAACATTACAAGTTTTGTTTTTTTTTTTCCTTTAGAATATTCTTAATCACATTTTGTATATAGTAATTTTCTACTGAGTTATTAACAATATGAGGAAATCTATTAGTTATCTTTTTAAAATGTGCTGATCTAAGCTCAATAAATATAAATAATTAAAGTGATAAATAGCTAAGTGACTTGAAGACGTATCTACAGTCCCACCCCTGGGGCTGACTTGGGCCTTATCCTGGAACTGGGTGGAGAGGTAGAGAAGAGGACACAGGGCAATACTCAGTGCAAAGCCATCCTTGGGCAAGAATGGTCCAGCTGGGACAGGACCCGTGATGCCATCGTTGGCTCTGCCTCTTGTGTGCCCCTTTGCAGAGCATCTCCTTTCATTGGGGTTTATTGGCTCTGCTGCAGCACCCATGAAGGTCGTCAGTTCCAGGCTTGAGTGGGTTTGCACAGAGCCAGCCCAGGCTGTTCTGGGCTCACGGTACAGGTGTGCTGGTGGAGACTCCAGATTTTTATTAAAATAGGTGAATGGTCTCACAAATGTGACAGTAAATAATACCTTCTCCTTTAAATACATCAGACAATAGATACATTCTGCTCTAATCTGACACCAAACATAGGTGCTGTGAGATGAGATGAGCTCTTTATTTGGCTTCTTTGTGATTTGCACAACTCCCAGGCACAGTCACCAGCAGCAGGTCCTCCTGGGGCACCGTATCCAGCTCACAGGCACAAGGTCATGTAATCCCCTTCATAACGGGAGCAGGCACAATTTCCCTGCTGACCTGGGGAGACCCTCACAGTCAGATTTTGTCTCAGCTGTCCTGCACTGCCTGCAAACTCCTGATCCCAGAGGATGGTGTAGTGAAGGTATCTATGGCTTCAAAGCTACAAATAATTTATGTTAATTTTTCTTTACAAGTGGCTGCCTCCATGGGAAGGGACATGTCCCTATTTCCCACAAGTGCATTTCTACCCCTCATCCCACACTTCCTCGGCTTCTGTCACGTCACCTGAGACTCAGATGCCATTAAATCCATGCATTCATTTTTATAGAAGCAGTCAAAAATGGGAAGTGCCCAGAACAGCTGCAAAATCTTAAGGAAAAGTGGCAACTTTCAGTGTGCAGTAAAAGATCTTCACTCCACTCGCTCCTACACCATGTGGGCAGAGGTACTTACTCTCAGCATTGCAGTAACTACCACTCCCAGCATTAAATGTGAGTAGATAACACTCCTCATATTTATGCATATACCTTGGCTCGTGGTAGTTGAGATAAGAATAGTGTTCCAGTAGCTTCCAGGTAATCCCGTTGTCATAGGTGTAGTGCAGCAATACTCCCTCCCCGGGCTGGTCGGGTGCTTTGCAGGTACTCAGCACTGACTTGCTGCCCAGTCGTAATGTGAACTGCAGGAACCTGGATCAGAATTACACAAATATTTATAGGGTACCATTTGCATAGTGTTTGTTTGTTTGTTTTTTCCCTACCCAGGTTGTTTTCAGATCTTCTCAATCTAGACAAGTTTTGATAAATATCAGTTATGGGGCTTTGTACGTGCAATTTGTTTTTACTGTCAAGTAATGCAGTGTGGCACATATAGTCAAAAAACGCCAATCACTACAACATTTAATTATTTATTAGGCACTGAAGGGGAGGGAGAGATAGTGAATGGATCTAATCAGCTGCCACAAGCTGTCAAATAAACACAACCTTATAAATAATTAATTAGCATTTGGCTTTGACACTCAGTTTTGATATTAACATTTCATATTTTCCACCCGAGCTGTACAATAACTTCCCTCCAGTCTGTTTTGGGCTCTGTTGTTTACAAAGCAGGAAGAAAAAAAGCAAGGCTATGAAATCATCATTAAAATATGGAACTAGGATTTTTTAATAAAAACTTTTCCTTCTGCTAAAACAGTTAGCTTAATAGTACATGTGGTTGTAGCTGGAAGGGGAGGAGTTCCCCATTTCTTTGCCTCACACGGCGGCTCTCTCCCTCTCACCTGGACTGGGAGCTGTCGAGGAAGGAGGTGATAAGCTGGCGCCTCCCATCCTTGTTGAAGACCAGGGCCTTGCCACTGGCCAGGACCCCGCAGCCGAAGCTGACCTCAGCCCCCCGGATGGAGTAAAAATTGTGGTAGGAGGAGAGGCGGGAGCTGGCAAAGCTCTCTGAGATGAAAACGGGGAAGGTCTGTGATGCCATCTCACACGCTGGCCCTGAAAAGCCGGGGTCACACCTGTGGGTGAGGAAGATTGAACAGTGCAATTAATGACCCATCTCCTGTGGTTGGCTGGGAAACCAACACAGTGGCTGCAGTTCTTCATGAACTGAAGATGCCTACAAACTCCTTCTCAAATCTAAGGACCAAAAACCTCTTTAAACTTTATTTAGGTATTGCATAGCCAATAACTTTTTTCTAGCTAGTACTTACCGTTCCAATTAAAAAAAAATAATGTTACTAAACACTCATCTACACCTAACACACAACAGAGAAATATTTTTATTTATTTCTGGAACAAAAATACTGCCGACATAATTTACAGTTGTTCATATGTAAAATGATTAATGTGCTTTGATCTGTGGCATGTCAGATGTGATTACAAGAAATTGAGTAACACAACAGAATGCCCCCTGGGTCACAGTCTTGTTAATACCTAAAAATAGTTACACCAATATTTTGACTGTGCTTACTGATATTGAGTAAGTACCTTTACTTTTTAAGCTGGAACACTTCTAACAAGCCAAACTTTCAGAAAAGGTGGAGTGCTGACCTTTTGTCCTTGCGGTCTGTTAGGCTATGGGGTATTAGAACTACGAAAATTGTGATTCTTTCCCAAAATCTAATATAAAAGTGATACAGTCCCAAATCTCCTTTAAAACCAGTATAAAACATGCATCACTGACATTTCAGCATGTTCTATAGCACATTTTAAGGTGAACTGGAAGATAGACTCTCTCCCTAAAGAAAATTACAGAAAAAAAAATTAAATATGCTGCTGTTTAGAAAGATTGATCTTTAGCTCTCCAGTGAGCTTTATGCATTTTGGGGAGCTATGCTAGTTTTAAATTTAGTCATCTCAAAAAGCAAGGCCTGAAATGAAAATCACTTCAACTTTCAGATCATCAAGTGAACTATCCGACAGAAATTGAATACAGTACTGAATTATAATACTTACTTGCAGCCATTTCTAGTACACTGTCCTCGCCCTGAGCAGAATTTGAGGCAAGATGGACCAATATAAACTGCAGAGAAAATATATCAGATAAATGAAGGGTTATCTTATGTGATAAACAATATAATGAATACAGTTACTGTATTAATCTTAATCCCACTAGCTGGAAGAGGTCTACAAAAGGACAAAATGCATTTGATTGTGTCCTTCTGTAGAACTGAGTAACAGAATTTTGCTCTATGTCAAGGATAGACAGGGATAATTTATTATTTAGTGAGTAATGTCTATGTGTGGCTTGAGACACTAGTGATGTTTTAATTAATGTACCTGATTTTTCTGATACTGTGAACAAGATCAGATGATTTGCTATTCACTGACTATTTTCTTGCCCTCCCTTCATCTTGTTTCAGAGCTGTCATCCAATATATATATTAGTACATTCTAATAGCAGTCTTGTAGATTTTTAAAATGTATCACTGCTTCTCTCACTAAATCTTAACTTCACTGGATTTACTGGAATTAGAATCTGCCCCAATGTATCTTCAGTAACTATTAAATATCATACACTTTCGCTGATCCATTCAAATGGAATGGAACTCTAAATCATATACACTCAAAAATACTCCAGACTTGTTTTACTTCTTCCTCCAATGACTCCTAATCAACAGTGTTGATATTTTGTGAAAAATGTGAAGGATGGAAAGGTGAGCAAATCTCAGTATAATCAACATCTCATTGCACTACTATAAAGAAAAGGATTAATCTGGGTATAGACTAAATACATTAATCCGAGCGTAGCCCAAAGTGATAACTTGTGGGCAATGTTCTTTCAATACAATATGATAAATAGGACTTAATGATGAACAATGTCATTTTTCTGTTGAAGAATGCCTATTAGTTGGACTTATCCACTTGCACAGTGACTTTTGGAATGTCATCAAAATAGCCAACAATTTTAAATCATCTATAAGAAGCAGTGCTTACTCCCTCTCTTAGTTTTATGATGTTGCCCATCACAGCAGTGCGTCTGTTCTCCCTGGCAGACACACTCTAAATCCCTCTTAGCTACACCCTTTAACTAACTCCCCATCAGACTTCATGTGATTTTGAGATTTTCTCACTTTTCAGGGTGCAAAAATTCTGTTCTGTCTGTTTGATTTGTCTCTTTCAAGGTCTTTTTGAGGGGGTGGTAAAAGTAGAAGGGTTAAAGAAGTAATGATGTCATTCGAAATGAAAAAACTTTATGAAAATTGGCAGTTTTCCAGTGTTTCTAAAAGATGGCCAGCTTCCAGATTTCATTTAAAACTTAATTCATGTAAGAAACAGTTGTGAAGCTAAAAGTCAGAGTGCTGAACCCTTGAAAATCTTCCTTTCTTCAAGAATGAGTGGCTTGCCAATATTTGTAAGTCTTTCCCTGCAATTGCAAAGCTTCAGTTGCACTAGTATCTAACAAAGGAGGCATGATAAAACTCCTAAACATGCTCATCTTTAAGACTTGATTCCCATGTCATGGTTCTACACCTCAAACAAATTTCAGAGCAGGCCATTTTTAGGCAGATGGTTAGTAAAATTGCTTTTGAGATGGTACAGAGTGGAGCATGCAGCATCCTTTGATGGAATTGTATTTAGTTCTACAAGCAAAGGTAGTGCAGATATCTGAATTGTCCATTAATTTCCAAAATCTCGTTTTGTTCTGTCATAAAGAATTTGGATCCTTGCATTGATTTTATCTTGCTCTTATTTCTGTGAACTTCTGTGAGCATCTCCAACACTTATAGCCTGCATTGTGTTAGGTAGCATCTCATCTTTGTAGATACTCACAGAAGTCTGATATACCTAAATTTTCATTTAATTTTACTTTCTTTTTGATGTAAATCATCATCTCTAAAGACAAGCATGAATACTTTGTCCAAAATATCAAGATGATGCTACTTCCTATTAATGTGATTAAGAGAACAATTTTCATTACCCTTTGTGAAACACTTTTGTTTGTTGCATTACATTATCAAGACAGGTTCAAGAACTGAATTTTCAAAAATAGGCGGTAATCTGTTTTAAGAATTTTGCAAAATGTAACTACTTACCATTCCTGGACTCCATATCAAACCTTACTAGGAATCACTACAAAATTTTGCAGACTATTGTACATTGCTGTAGATCTTTAAATTACATACTTCACAAATCTAAAAACCAAATTCTAGATGTAGTTTACTTAGTCCCAAAACATCTAGGGCTAATGAGCAAAGCTAAAAAATTTGCACCTTCTCATAGCTAGTCCTTTCAATCGTATTTATTTCTGCATTTCATACCATGTATCTATTTTATCCTGTGTTCCGAAATATTTTTTTCTGTGCTTTAAAATGTTTCCTTTCAAGACTGGCCCCAGTTATCCTCTGCACTAAGTTTGATAACTATATGAGTCAATATAAGCTCCTCATAGTTTTTCACATCGGTTTAAAAACAGGTAGGTGAAAAATATTTTCCTGAAAGAAGAATAGTTCTCTGAAACAGATGGTACTTTCCCCCTGAAGATATTGTAAACAATGTACGAGTTATGTCAGTGTTTGGTAGCAGCATTGCTTATGAGGGTCTTCTATGTCCAGAAGGAAAAATATGTCCCAGATGCTGTAACTGTTGCTTAGGCTGGTGCAGTACATGTCTTTAGTGTAGTGCCGTGTAGTACCTATTTATGTCATTAGGATGAAGCAGTCAGAGGAAATGTTATATTAAGCCCTTGCCACCAATATATTTTCCTGGAAAGCATTCAATTAAAAGAGGGTAATCTACTAGGCTATTTTCTTTTCAAATGACAGAATTCCCCTCCAGCTTCAAAATGCACCTGTTACCAAGTGCAGATATGAAGAAAAGGAATTTGAAAATCCTTCAACCTGTGATTCTGGAAAACACATTTACTTGGAGCAGCATATAAAAATTTACTCTTCAGATGTGTTGTCACTGTGGATAGGAATACTAACTATTATCGATTGCCCACATATTTCCAAGGATTGGTCCTGTTTGCCTCCATCGAATCCTGGTGTCACTTGTTAAGGCCGCATTGGGAAGGGGAATGATTATTCGATTCCACCTGAAATACATATAACACAAATACTAACATTTTACACTGGGAGGTATTAAGCAACTGTGCAATGTATTTTACAGAGAAGTTTAATTACACTGGAAGCTTTGTGAGAATTTTCAATTCTAAAATCTGCTCAAACGAAGCAGAGAAGTTACTGCAGCTTTAGAAAATACAAATGAAAAAAAGCGAACATGCCCCATGATATTTTCATACAACGTATGAATGTTAATTATTACATTATATAACACTGACATTTTCCCCCCTGTATGAATGGACGAAGTCAGCAAAGATCTAAACCTGCTTCACTATAGCAACTTCCATCACAGTGAATATCGCTAAATTGCATTCTGAATTAAACTTTTCATTACAGCTGAGCTCTGCTTGGTGGAAACCCTTGGGGGTAAGAAGAGGGGCACAGATGATTTGACCTGCTGCAGTCTGAGCCATCATTTTCATGTCATCCACAGTGGCTGCACTTCCTACACACACCAGGGGTAATGGTCCCTATGAAAATGGTACAGAAATGGGGGTCATCAGATCATAGCAATGCTTCAACTACACTGTTCTCATGGTCATACCTGCTGCTCTGAAGTGTCTCTGGAAGTTGGGATACAGAGTTGTAGGATTTAGGCTATGCAACAAGGTGTCAGAGTTAATTTTATGGTCAGAACGGTACCCAAGAGACTTAATAAAGAGAAGGTTTGATATAAGAAAGTGACAGTAACAACCACCTCCATCTGCAGAAGTGCAGAGGATGTGCTTCACTGTAACCCAATACTGGGATTCCAAGCGAGTAAAGGTGTCTGAGGATGTAAATATGGGTTTGACTGATGGTTCCTCTGACAAAGAAGAAACTTCTGTGGCTTTGACAAGGTATAACTTTCCTTCTGATTACCAGCATACTGTCCACAGGGTTTTTTAGTAATTTATCTTTAGCATCAGAAAAAGAATATTATACCACAGAAGCAACCCCATATATTTCAGATATCATTACTGGGCAGCCAGGGAGACCAGAACACTCCTTTCTTGCTGTCCTCAGCTAGTCAAAAATGAAAGATGACATATAGTGTTGTGTGCTTTGCTGCTTTCTTCTGTCACCTATAATTCACTTCTCTAATGTTGCATCTCAGTTAGCTTTGCAGAGAACTCTCTTACCCGCTGTAATTTTCAGAGGCATAGACGGTGCTGTGGGGAAGGTGAGGCCCAGCACATATCTCAGGCAAACACTCAGTGTGGAGCAGGGACCAAGAGCGACCATGGTTGGTTGAAAACTCTAAGCTGACGCTAATAACACAGTGAAGGAAAGAAAAGAGAAAGACACTGTGAGCCTACCTGGTGTAGATATGAATGTAGAAGTACCAATACTGAGAAACCGCCAAATCTACTATTCCTAATAACTAATGCTGAAATGTGAAATCATTTTAAGCAGACTTTGAATACAAAAAATTCTGGAAATACAAACATCAAACAAACCTGAGTTTTTAAAAACCAAAAGGGGGTAGCCTATAGACTGAGGATTGTCTAAATACCTAGTCCTTGTTTGGCCATCATGCTTCTGCTGTTAAATGAGCTGATGTTACTCTTATATCTCAGAAATGGCTTCAAAAACAATGAGGAGAAAACTTGGATTAATCACAGCTAGACAGCATCTTGTGAGCACAGGACTTTTATAACTGCAAGCTGATAACCATTATATCTCCAGAAGGTGGTAAAAGACCACTAGTTACTCATGCCCTGGCTGGCTCTTCTCTTTCATTGAACTCCTCAGTCATCTACCTCCTCCATCCATCATGCCCAAATGGAGATCAGACAAGCACCATGGAAGGCTGGAAATGGCCAGCCCCCATGGAGGACTGCAGAGGGCAGAGGGGACCTGGGGAAGGGCACGCTTCAGGGAGCCCCTGTGGCACGCAGAGCCCTCTGGAGCTGTGGCAGCCTTGGCGCTGCCCAGCAATAGCTGCCTTTGGAGGCTTCCTCCCACTCACAGAGCCTGGAGCACTCAGTAGTGAATTTTTGTGATTTTTTGTGAATTTTGTGACATAATTGTATGCGAAAACTCCAGTTTTGCTTAGAAAAAGGCTGCTGTTTTCTGATTTCTTAGACTAGCAGTAAGCTAAACCATCCATGTGCAGACAGTGACATTAGAGAACTGGAAACTCTATGAGACCATCCACTGAGCTTATGACAAGAAGTTATTAAACCCATTCTCCCAAAAGGTCATTGACAAGTTCAGTTTTCAAAAAGTTATTCCTAGAATTTTTTCCTTCCCTGTTTCGCTGCATATTTAAAAAAAACCACTGTTTACAGTCTGGGAGTGTAAGGAAATCCTTCGTCTTTTTACATTCTAAGGATCTTGAAAAAGCAATATAGAAAGTGCTAGATTTATTAAGGATTTATTATTTTACTGAAATACTCTTGTAATTTCTTCCATATAATTACCTTGCAATATTCTGTTTTACTTTAAGTAATGCCAGTGGAACATTATAAAAGTCATAATTCATCACCTCAGCAGTAAATTATTGGATTATAGCTTTTCCTTCTCATTATAATTTGCTGACAATCTTACTTTATTTAAATGTACCATCACTGTGGCATTGTAAGTGTGTATTAAAAGAGTTCATTGAGGTTTTTGACTAATTTGTTTCAGATTTAACTGTACTGATACCTTGGAGGGTCATATTTACTAAGTATATTCAGTGCAAGTCTCTCACATTTGCAGTAATGAAAGCATTATGAATAATGCTGTAGACCACGAGATGGGAAATGCTGCTGTATTTGGGGGACAATTGGGGCCTAGTGCTTCTTTTGTTATGAAGAAGCTCACTTCTGCTTCAGAAATAGTTCACATGAAGGAAGAATATTAATATTTCAAAATATATACTAATCCCCATCAGATAACAGAATGAGACAGAGACTTTATACACACACACACACACATATATATGTATCTATACATACACACATGTTTACAGGCCAGGAGTGTTTACAAGCAAATTTTTCACTTCCCATGTAGAAAAATGTTTCTGCCTTCCCTTCCTATCAAAAATAAGTGCAATTTTTGCTGCCCCTTGAACTCTGCTGCCCTGCATGGCTGCTAGCACTGTCAGTGCTAGTGCAGCTCTTTCCAGTTGGTAGTAGATGCCATGGGACATGGATGTGAAAGCTTTTACAGTCTCCTACTTTAAACTCACCACCCTGGAAAAATATAAAGTAACTTAATCTTCATAAAATATCAGGATAAACAGTACATAAGGAAAGAGGGACAGTGGACAATTTGGTTTTGGGTTCCCTACTTGAAGAAGGATGTTGAGAAACCGGAGAGGTGGAGCAGAGGATGCCCAAGATGTCCGTGGCCTCGAGCACTGAGCCAGGAGGGGCTGGGGAGCCCGTGTGCCCAGCCTGGTGAGGAGGGGTGAGCCAGAACAGCCTGCGATGGTGTACAGGGCACTCACAAAGGAGGCAGAGCCAAATTCTCCTCGGTACTGGCAGGCACAGTAGAAAGGGCAATGGCCATAAAGACATGCTTCAGAGTTTTGGACTGGGCATTAGCAAACACTTTCTCACTGGAGCAGGTCACCCAGAGAGGTAGCACAATGTCCATCCACAGACCTTTTCATGTCATGGATAGGCAAAGCTATGGCTGACCTGACATCTGCTGGTAACGATCCCACCTGCAGCAGCAGGTTTCACTAGATGACCTGTGAAGGTCCCTTCCAACCAACATTTCTAATATTCTACAAAATATGGAGCAGCAAATGACTCCCTTCTTTCCCTTTGCATCCCCCTTAACTCCATGGGAAAAATAATGTTGAATGTCCCCATGAAATGAGTCCAGCAAAAGAGTTCAGTGGTCAGTGTACAGGCAATGAGGTCCTCATACTGATGGTTGTCAAGATGCAGGCCATTTATCAAGAGTCTTGCAAGAATTAGATATGCTTGTGGCATCAGCAGTCTCTGGGAGGCCAGCAGGGCAGGTTTCTGCCTCTGCCTTTAATACCTTCCTCCTTACACAATACTAAGAAGTAAATCTCATATCCATTAGAAATTGGAGCAAGTAGCTCTGAAATCATAAGCCTATTTAGAATAATGGATTAAGAAAAGCAAGTTTTGACCTGGAGACTATTTAATAGACTCCTTGTTACATGTGAGAGATATAAATCTGGACCTGTGGAGATCAGGAGAAACATTTGCTTTTGAGCAGCTTATATTTGTCATTATAAATTGGCTTGTTCTTTCTGAGAAAAAAAAACCCCAAATACTCATCTAGATTCTATAAACCAAAATGTTCTAGAAAGCTGATAATCGAAAGAGAAATCTTGTGTGTTGTACCTGTTACCAGGTTGATAAGTTCCACAACCCAAATTGATGGAAAACTGGATCATGTGAGTCACCGTGGAAGGGAGGACTGGAAGCACATGGAAGTAATCCACAGCCCAGACATTCCTGTTGTGGCCTTGGTGACTCTTTTGCTTCAGGCAAAACTTGGTTGACAGAGTCTGCAGGTCCGGACTAATGACAACAGAAACCAAAGATGGAACCTTTAAAAGAAATTAAATCAGGGTTAAATAAAACAAGCAATATTTAAAAAAAAGGTCACAAGGTACTATTTAAAATAGAAAAGCAACTTCACATGTGCTGAACCAAATGTGCTTTTCTCCCTCCTTTCTTCATTTCTGTTAAGTTTTTTAAGCTACCTTCTTCCACAGAAGATCCCAAATAAAAACAATTTATATTATGTGCATAGGTATTAACACTCTGGATACCAGTGCTGCTTATCACCTTAGTGGGATCAGTTTGTTTGGTTGCAAAGATGCTATGGAGAAGAGTGCACCTTCTGTATTCTGAAAAATGCTGGTTTATTTTGTTAGTGCTTCGCTGGCAATGGAAGGCGCTACTTGTCCTGCAGCCTTTCAGCTCACAGAAGCAGACAGAGGGTAATGGCATGTCTAGTCTGAATATGTGAGAATGGAGTAACAGCAGGAGTTCACAGGCCTAGGTAGGGAGGATGTTATGTCGTGGAAATAAATGAAAGCACTGCTTTACAAAGCTTAGCCTTTGTCCTCAAGCAACGTAATTAGACCTTCATTATGTCAAAAGAGGATGTCAGGTTTAAAACTGCTTGTTTTAAAAAAAACTCCACAATGAATTTAGTGTAATTTCAGATCCTATCTCTCCCTGAGTTCCCCAATTAATTTTTTATTATTTCACAATTACAGCTTCCTTAGTTTTAAAAAAGTTCTGCCCTGTCTTTCACACAGAAGCAGGGGAGGAGGGAAGCCACGCACAATGAAACAATGCAAGTGACTCAACCAAACTCAGGCCAAACCCTACTGTAAACATTTGCTCTCTGAACACTAGATTTACAGTGAAAATGTGCACAGACCTGTGCTTAAAATCCGTTGCATCTTTACCACCGAATTTCCTACATTCTGTACAGGCATACTGCATTTCAGTCTCTAGCGTATCCACGTGTATATGCATTACATATCAGTTTTTGTTATCTTTTTTACAGCAGCACACTTAAGGACACCTCAGGGCTGGGTCACTCAGGGTAGATGTGTTTCCTTGCCCTAGGCAGGAAGGATCCTGACAGCATGCTCGGGGTCCTTATTGTCCTGCCTGAGGGTGGTGGACGCGGTTGGAAGGAGGCTGGACTGTCGGCACACTGCCAGCAGCACATCCTATGGCTGAATTTATGCCCACATCACTGCAGACCCTCTAAGAGGGCACACAACTGTATTTAAAATGGAAATAAAAAGTGTAAAATGTGAAATTTCCTGCACCAGGATCAGGAAAGACATCCAAGCACTTCCCAGTCACTCTCCTCCCAGCCACTGGTCTCACCATGATTGACCCTCTCAGGATGTAGCTCCTGAGTATCAAACCCTGGCTAGCAGGAGCTTGACTGGAGACAGGAGTAATTATTTGTGAGGAGGTGTTATCACCAAGGTTTTCAGCAGTTGGCTGAAACTCTGCCCATTGCCCATTCGCCTGTTATCCTTGCACTAGCCAATGCTGCAGTCCTGGTGTGGAGTAATCAGCAGTAACTGCAGAGTTGTGTCACAAAGGTACCCTGTCGTTGTGGGATCTGCACGTGATTTATGTTCTTGGGAAGATATGTGTGTCCCTATGGAATGCAACAACAGTTGTGATGGCTTAAAAATAGATCGATCTATCCATCCCATCCACGTACTTTGTTTAAGGTGATTTACCTTGTAAGCAGCATAGGTCAGGGTGTCAAGAGGTATGTGTTCTCTCCGGCCTTCAATCTTGGCATAAAGTATGACATCATTTTTGTGGGATTCTCCAGAATCACAAGTTCCCCCTGGACAGCACACATTTGAGGGGGGAAAAAATTAATTGAAGCCCTTGTTATTGGGAAGTGGAATCATATCACGCAGCTATAATTACAAAAATAATTACAACCAGATGCTATTGAACTTAGGCTATGAAACAAAAGACCACCAGCCCTAGGGATACAATGTGTAAGAACTATTTGATCAGATATACCATACCAGAGATCAAGCAGGTTGAATTATGAAAACTTCAAGTAACTTTCTTAATCAGCTTATCAAAACAATTTTAACAGAAAGTGCTGTGCCCAAAGGAATACTTCTATCTGTCTGCTTTAAATGCTGCCTACATAGAAATGCTCTGCTTTTTTTTTGAGTTCTCATCAGTAGGCTGTTATTTAATACTCACAGTCCACGCAGCCACACACATCATATGTGAGGACATCTTAAACACTTCTCAGCTGATAATTTGGCAGCTGAGAATTTGCTCTCAGTATGAAATAAGGAAAACTGCTGTGAAACTTTTTTGTTGTGCTGCTTCTTCTCCTAGTATGGATGGAGTCTATTCTATCACACAAAACATGTGTGACATGGTTGCCTCACTGGAATGGGGCAACACTTGAAATATCTTCGTACTGGTAGAACTCAAAACACTTCTCCGAAACAGAAGACATATTGTCAAATTTGAGCGTTAAACTCTGCATTATAGTTATGAGAAGGACATCATCACACTAGTTTGTCATGCTGTAAAAAAGTTTTTAAAAGAAAGTATTTGTAATTGAAACAGGAAACTTCATTTCCCTGTACCCTATGGGTATTGCACCTAGAAAAAAACAGGATGAGGAAGCCTCTTTGAAAAGTCTGTAAAGTAGAAAGTTGCACATATGAAACACTTTCTCTGCTATTTTCACTGCAGCTGGCCAGTTCTTGTAATAGAATAGGCAAAGCAGTCCAGAGAGCTAGATAAGATGTGCATGTTTGATGTGCATTATACTGTAATGGGGAACATCCATGTGTCCTTTCAAATCCTCTGCTTGTCTGAATGTTTAAATTACTATTCATTTACTTTACAAGTACGTACACAATATATTTTTCAAGTGATATCCCACTATCCTCTGTGCCTGCATGTGCTGACAACTTCTCCCCTAAGTTCAGAAGGTTGAGAAAATTTCTTTCCTGTTTCTCTTGCAGGTGTTGTAATGCTTGGAAGAACTGGGAAAAAGCATCCTCTTTTTCCTGTGCTTTATTGGTAATTCATGTAATGCAGAGGAGATGTGTGACAATTAGGACAACAACATGAGGTCTTCCACTCATTAAATAAAGGGTGTTTTTTCTTGTTGATTCAGAAGGTTGCTTGTGGAGGTCATGAGTTTAGTCTCTGCTTCCTCCTTTTTTATTCTATTATTCTCTACTTTTAAGCAAAACCCCTCACCTCCTCTACACTTGGTGTTGAGAGAATAACCTCATGCAATTTCCTTTATGCGCAAAATAAAAGTTCTGGAAAAATACTGTGAGATACTGAATGATAACCACCATGTTTGTAGGGATTTTGGTCTGTTGCAACACCGGACCAATGCAGTTGTACTGACAACAGTGGGGAGAGGAAGTGACAGGGCAGGTTTATTCTTGGCTGCTTTCTTAGCCCTGGTAAATCACTGAGGTTGCACTTTGTCCCAGCAGGGAAGGTCCACAGATGATGCTAACACCACACCAGTGCTTTTCACTAGGGATGCCACATGTAGGCCATACCTCCTCCAAGACTGCAGCACACTATAGCATACTCTGTGTGAATCCCACCCTGGGCCAATACCTAGCAGAGGAAAATATTTATGAATACAGAAAAAGCTTTTGACCAGAAACTATTCCATGGGTTCAACCAGGTAAGGCTGTCCCACCCCTGTGCTACTCCTATCTCATCCTCAGGTGCACCTCTGTTTTTTCATGGATTAACATCAGGGTTACATGGACGTGACTGTGGGGGGATATGACAGGTACCTATAAATCATCTATGTGTGATAAGGATGACAAAAATAGGACTATCTCTTCTGATAATGGAGTAAGGGGCACCAAGTGAAATTAGAAGATACAAGACAAGATGTTTCTTCCCAAGCAGAATTGTTAAACTATGAAGCTGTGACAGGATCTTATGGGCACACCAGGCAGGTTCAGGTGATTAAACACTAGTATCAAGGATAATTTTAGACACCATGGAGGGACCTGCCTCACCTACCTGCTGCTACAGCAGGCTATAACTCTCCCCCAGGTCCTGGTTATATCTGCCAGCCTTGTGTTGATGTCTCAGATATCCTTGAACACCTCAAGTGGCAACAACAACCTGTGCTTTTGTAACAAATCCTGCCTGTGGACTGAACAAGAGCCAACTCACACCTACGTGTGCACCAAGTGCTTAAGCTTCCTTTGTATCAATGGACACCCAACCCCTGCAGTCAGGGGAGTCCAGGGAGCTGCTCAGCTGGTCCAGCACAGCTGTCTCATGGTGAGCTGAATGGGTTTGTCCAGCAACAGTACTGATCACATCTCCTCTAACCACAAAGGAAGTTTAGACACCAGCCTTACAGGGACACACCTTCATGTAACTTCTATATTAAACTGGTTTAACCTGGAGCTACTGGTTTATATCAGCCGAAAAAATGTCTGGATAAATCCATGGAAGAAAAGCCCACCAAGGGCTACTAAGCCCCAACTGCCCTGTCTGGTTCATAAAGGTTTTAATCTACAAGTCCATGTCATCTGGGAGAATTGTTTTTTTGAGGGCTGTTTATGTGCCCACCATGTTTTTATACCTGTGTGGGCATCAAGAAGGGTGAACTCTCATCTGACTGAGAGTGGTCAGTTTTACATCCTCATGGACATCACAGTCCCGAATCAGAGCTATCTGCTCTGGAGGAGTATTTGAAATAGTTCTATGCACACTGCACAATTTAAATCTCACATGCTTCACATATTGTATTACATTAGGAATATATACTCACCCATACTGAAATAAAATCTCAAGTTCCCATAACCTGTAGTGTCCATGTATGGAGTGCATATTTTTCTTTCTCCATCTCTGAGAAATACCATAGATGAGCCAGATTCCAGTGTTCCACATTCAGTACCAATGACGGCTCCAAATATGTCCCACCTGGAGAGGTCAACAGTGGGTGGAGAATGTACAGAGGCAAGTTACGAGTAAACTCATACAAAACGTGTTCTAGGAGTTCATTTGTACATACAAAAGTAGCTGCTGCTCCTCTTACAGAGGACAACAAAATGCAGTTTTTCAAATATGATTCCTATGATATTTCTTACATGTTCAATACTAGTTTTTAAATACAAATAACTCATAAAACAAAGTAAATGCAAATATTTTAAACAAAGAAATTGGTGGGAAAGCATGAATTACTAAAAAAATGAGGGTTTTAATGACTACTATTATAAAACATTTAGTAGTGTATCATTCTATCATCTTTTTTATTTTTCTGACATTAAAATTTTTAAAATATGATTGCAGTCTGTTTCATTTTGTATAATAAAAGATTTACAGATCAATGAAACTTGAAAAGCCGCATGTCCACTACATCTGCTATAGAGCCAGTAAATATGGAGGTAATAGCTGAAGGTGCTCTCTTTTTATCTTTTTGAGTGTTTAGGGTAACAGTTTTTAACTATACATGAACAGAGTATGAAAGAAGACTGCTGTGCTTCTAATATGTGATGATACGATCTTTCTCAGTTTTTCTGTACATTTTTCTCTTATTTTTATTCAGTGATAATTAAGAGCTGTTGCAGAATTTTTCAATTAAATATTTTTTATTGAAAATATGTTTTCATCATGAAAGTGTTGGTTTCTTCAAAACTCAATTAAAATATTTTGAAAGATTAGAAACTGCTGAACATTGTTTTGGTCTGATATATTATTATTCATGTTGATGTCCTAATTAATAATAAAGTATTTCAAAATCATAAGGCTGATAAAGCAAATAAATTAGAATCACTAAATCCTGATAATCCAATCATTTAACTAGCCAGCATGATTGAGGATGAATGAGAAAACACTGAAGTTTGTAAACCTTTGTGGGAAGGCAGAGCCTTTTCCTGTCCA